AAGTCACACTGTGAGAATCCTGTAATAGAGGTAGAAGTAAATTGCTATAGGGGCATAGAAGAAGGAGAAGTAACTGAGTCTGGGGAAATTTGGGTGGACAACAAAGAGGAGGCAATTTTTCCTCCGTGTGAACATTCATAGGCACAAATGTTGGGCACTGAACCAGGCTCTTAGATCTTGTAAAGTGACCTACGTGTGGCAAAATGAAGCTGTTAAACTAAGTGATGCTATTCATTATTTTGACACACCTGAAAATCACTGGAAAAAGTGGATTATTCTGCTCACATTTGAGATTTCCAATCTCAATTAAATGTTTAATAGCACTCAGTAAAGTTGAGATGACTATGGCCAGTTAGTTGTCCGATTCCCTTAAATGGCTATTCTGAGCCTATTTTCAAACACTATTTAATTGAACTGCCTATAGTCTCATAAAGTTTCCTTTCCTTCCACTTCCTCTATAAAATTGAGGCCATTAGGTGGCTGTTCTTCCTATGGCAATTCACTCCTTCACAGCTTGCTTTCTTTCTTTCTTTCTTTCTTTCTTTCTGTCTTTCTTTCTGTCTTTCTTTCTGTCTTTCTTTCTTTCTTTTTTTTTCTTTTTTTCTTAGAGGAAGAGGCATTTCTCCTGGTCAAACAAAGCCTCTTCTCACTCCATTCACTCTTTTTTTTTTTTTTTTTAATACATTTTATTGATTTTTTACAGAGAGGAAGGGAGAGGGATAGAGAGCTAGAAACATCAGTGAGAGAGAAACATTGATCAGCTGCCTCCTGCACACTCCCCACCGGGGATGTGCCCTCAATTAATGTACATGCCCTTGACTGAATCAAACCTGGGACCTTTCAGTCCGCAGATGAACACTCAATCCACTGAGCCAAACCAGTTTCGGCTCACTCCATTCACTCTTAACCCTGTGTCCCCAGCCACCTCAAACACTTGCGACATCCAGGATCTTTCTGGTTCTCCTTTCAGTCTTAGCTCTTGGACAGGCTCATTTTCCTTATCCTACTCACACACCTCTCATCCTGCAAACCATCCTATTGTGTTTCTGTCCCTCTAGTATCCTATCTCCTTCCATTCTCAGTCATATTCTTGAAAGTATAATCTTAAACCCAAGCTTCTCAAACTTTAATGTTCATAAGAGTCACTGAAGAACCTTCATTATTATCTATCATTTGAGATGAGACTATGGTTTTCTTTCTTGAAAGAGTGCAAGAGTTGTAATTACTTGTTCAATGTCCACAGTTCCTAGGAGTCCTTTTAGAAATTATGTTCACTCTCATAATTTCAATGGCGAATTTAAAGTAATCAATAAAGCAATAATTAGAGGAATATATGGGAAAATATTGACCTTGAGTTGAAAGAAACAATTTTTGTTAACAGCCAAATTAACTGAAAGAAAAAAGGCTTTATTAGAACCTTGAACACTAAAACATAAAATAAGCTACCCAACTATCTAACATGAAAACAATTATAATAACTGTATAACAAAATGAGTATTATTTAATAGTTCATTTCATATATTGACATTATTTTAAAATTAAAAGAAGAGTTAGATCTCCCTCACTCTACACAATATATACGTTCCAGCAAAGTTAGTAATGAAGTGGACTTCTGAGGTGACTAAAACTATAAATTTGGGCATCGTGGTTTTTTGTTTGTTGTTTGTTTTTTCTGGAGGATAATGGGCTAATTTCAAAATGTAAAAATGAATGGTTTAAGAGGCTGGTCAAATTTATGATTGTTTGGATTTTATATAGATAGAAGGGATTTCTTAATTTTTCAGAGTAATTCAGTTTTGTTCAACAAATATAAAAGGTCTACTAGGTACTGTGGGGCATTAAAAGATGAGTAAGAAACAGACTCTGATAAAACAGTAGGGAAAATAATACAAAGCTCCAAAAAATTATGTAAAGAGCTGTAAAGTGTATGTGTGTGGAGGGAGGGTGACAATTGGCAGAGGGCATCAGAAAAAGTGCCATGAAGCAGCTAACATTTTGATGCACATAGAGAACTGTTGAAAGTTTTGCCATTCTGAAGGGGGACTGTATTTAGGGAGTGGTTCTGAAACCTTAGGCTGCATAAGAATCTCACATATTTGGGTGGATGGATGGGGGGCTATAATATTCTATATCAATTAACTATTATTACAGTAACTAGGGGCCCGGTGCATGAAATTCATGCATGGGGGGAGGAAGTGAAGCGAGGTCCCGACCTGCACTAATCTGGGAGCCCTCAGGGATGTCATACTGATGGCTTAGGTCTGCTCCCTGTGGTTCTCTGCTCTCTACAGACTTGCCTGCTTGATGCCACCACAGGCCCTTGTGTCTGCTCTCTGTGGGGGCTATGTGGGGGACTGCTTGCCCTCTCTGCCTTGGCCAGGGGCAAGAAGGACCCTGCTGTCTGCTTGCTCGCTGCAGGGGACATTTCCGCTCCACCCCTGGCCACTTGCATGCTTGCTGGCTTAAAGCACCTGGGTCCCCAGGATGCTCCCACCCTGCCTCGGGCTGCTCAGTGCTTGCACACATAGGCCTGGAGTGGGTGGGAGCATTCTGGGACTCCTGGCACTTGCACAAGTGGCCACCCTGCCCTTAGCCACCCACCATCTTTATTGGGTTAATTTGCATACCCACTCTTGATTGGCTGGTGGATGTCACAAAGTGACAGTCAATTGGTATCTTTCTCTTTTATTAATGTAGATGATGTTTAACAAAACACCCCAAAAATTTAGGGCTTAAAGCAACCACCCCTTAGTGATTCCCCTGATTATGCATGTTAGCTGGGCAGTTCCATTAACCTAAGGCAGGCTCAGTTGATCTCATCTGAGTTCACTTGTGTATCTGGGATCATCTGGTGGGTCAGCTGGGGGCTGGATGAACTGGATGGTCTCTAATCCTCATTAGGCTACTCTGGTTTCTTTCTCCTGGCACTTTTCCTAGGTTAGAGCTTAATAGCTCTTGAGACTTAGGCTTAGAAGTGACATACAGATACACCTGAATTCTTTTTGGCAAGGGCTAATCTCATGATAGCCACTCAGGAGATGGAGAAACAGACTCCATTTGTTTATGGGATGAATGGCAAAGTCACATTGCAAGGGCATGTACATAAAAAGGGAAGGGTGGGGTCATTCTGTAATCAGTCTAGCACCAATACTTCTTTGTTTTATTTTTCTTTATTATCTTTTTAATCCTCACCCCAGGAGAGAGTGGAAGAGAGAGGGAAAGACAAAGAGAAATATCAAGGTGAGAGAAACACATTGATTGGTTGCCTGCTGCAGGAGCCATGACCAGAATCCAAGCCTGGGAGGAGCCTGCAACCCAGGTACATGCCCTTGACCGGAATCAAACCCAGGACTCTTCAGTCTGCAGGCCAATGCTCTATCCACTAAACCAAACCAGCTAGGGCAAGGCTTCTTCATTTTGATTGGAATGCGAGTAGGTGAAATGGAGCTACCTGGTGACGCAGGCTGAGGTTATCCTGACCTATTTATTTCAAATGTAGGCAGCCCTGAGGAAATACTGAAGAGTTTGAGCAAGGAAGAAACATCTTCAAAGTCTGGCTTTACAATAATCTTTTATGGATATGGGGTGAATAGGAGCAGAGAGTAGCAGGAGAAAGGGTCTCTTTTCCATTCATGCAGGTGGAAGTTAAAGAGTGTTCAATGTGGTGGCAGTGGGGGCAGAGTCAAGGAGAAAGAAGCTTCCTCATAAGGACTGAAATGGTAAGGCTGCTGGTAGGACTGGAGGCACCGGTGGGAGTTCTTTCCCTTTTATACCAAATTCAGATAGTCAACATTCATCCTATGGTTCTACAGGCAGAGTTCCCAGATTTTGTTGTCCATTGCCATGTGATAATATAGCATTTAATAATTGGCAGGATATAATCGCACAGTAGAGATGTGGGACTCCGACTCATTGTTTTGATTGACTATCCTGATGAAGCTAAGCTTTCTCTGATCATATTCCAGACTCAAAGATTTTCTAAAATTGAGGCTTTAATTCATTCAGTAGGTTCTTCCCCTTCTCCCCCCCCAGTGATTCCATAGTTCTATAGGTCTCTGATTTTAAAATATTTATTTAAAATGATATAAAGTTGCACAAATATCTTATTTTCAATTTTATTTAAGTGAAATAAAATTGTGGTTGACGTGAAGAAATTTGCATAGAAACCACGAGTTTTATTGAAATAAAAATTTAAAGACAAAATCCTAATACCTATTATCTTATCCTGAAATAATTAAATGCAAAGGATATACACATGTTAAATCGCCAAAAAACATGTAGGCATTACACAATGCACATAATGAAACCATAAAACATTTTATATTGCTTTATTATAAATAATTGGAAAAATATTTCATTTCTCAAACCCAGATAACAAACATGCTTTTTTTTTTGTTATTTCATTTTATTTTTGTAATATGAGTTGGGGAATAGTATTTCTTATCAAAAGACTGGTTTAAAAAATCTGTAAAAACACAAAAGAATTAAGCACTCACTTTCATTCTTTTAAATGAAGACAATCAAGAAGGTTTTTAGAGACTAATCAGTACTATACATGAGTCACCAAGAATAGAAAAACTGTAAAACCTGCAAATAGTGTGTGTAAGGCAAAACAAGGTTGTAACAGATGCATACATATAAAGATTTGATGGTAAATTAAAAAAAAGGACTTCCTTAAAAATGTGAAGAGCTCCATTCTCTCAAATAGAGGAGAGCCATAAAGGCATAACAGATCAAGTCACCAGGTTTGCAATCAGTATTGTTGCTCTGAAGAAAACTTTTATTTTTTCTAAAAGGACACCCAATATGTATTTCAATTTTCTTATCTCATGGTTTGATAACACCTGTTCACTATTGTAAACTTTAACACTTAAGAGACAGTAGTAACTTCAAACTCACTCAAAATTGATTATACCACAGGCATATCTTCATTAAGAAATTTATAGCAACCAGCAGTCAGAATTTTCATATTCAGTAGGTGACTATTATTAATTTTTGTGTGTATTTCCCTTATGTATAATACAGAGTTTTGCCAATTTTTATCACTAATAATTTTTTAAAATCTGAAACTGCTCAAGAAAAACAGACGGAGGGAGAAAAACATGGAGAAATATGTATTTCATAAAGTAGTGTAGTAGATTTCTTTAAAAACTTATGTTTATTGGCATCAATTAAGAGCAATGTTGCATATTCCAGATTAAACAACTATTAGGTTTCCTGTGGATATAAACACACTATATACAATATAATTCTTTTATTTTTCATAGACTTCAAAGTGTATCTTTTATGGAAACTGGAACGGGGTAAATTTGGAAAGCATGTTTCAGTTAGTTAGAAAAAATTAAATTAGCATGAAATAACAGGGTGAAGATCATTATTTAAAAATAATGTAGTTACACTCACATGTACACATGCAAGAAAATACTGTAAAATAAACTGTTCCAGTTTACTTGGTTTTACTTCAGTTTAATACACTCTAAAAAAAACTGCTTTCATGTATAATATCATGGGAAATATTAAATGCATGTATATTATTTTAAGAGCTTGATGATAAATTTCACATTCGTTAAACTTTACTCAGGCTATAAATATATATTTTTTATATCAGTCAGTCAGTTTTTAGAGCAAATGAAAACTGTAGTGGGGAGGGGTTAACTTTTTTACCGGATAGTTCCATACTTGATAATGTTCTTTTTTTCTTCTTCTGGGGACTGTATAAAAAAAAATCAAAGAGTAACGGAGTCTGTCTCGACATCACACTGTTAGCCTTCATGCACTACAATTCATTATGACTTAACAACATGGAGTTTACATTTGAAGACGGGTTAACTGAAATCAATGAGCAAGCATGACTTCTGAGATTCATTAACATGGAGCCAACTCAGAGAGCGATGGATGCTGTGCCTCCTGAACTTGTACTAAAATTGTGCAATAGTATAAACGTATTGTTAGTAGGTTTGCATAGAAATACCACCATCTCACTGGTGTGATACGTCTTTCCCACGGGATGGTAGCAGGCCTGCTTCCTTCTTCACGGGCATTCTTTTTTTGTTGTTGGTTCGTGTTCTTCTTTTTTCAGTTTTGCCTGAAACAAGCCCTATGTATCATAGTTCCAAAGTAAGATCCAGTAGTAGTTTGAAGCACAGGGAGCTGAGCGGTTCCTTTCCTTTTGAAAGCATGACAGTGAGTGGCACCCTCGACAGCCGAGCCACACGAACAGGGTCAACCCAAGCACAGACTCTTGTGAACTCAACAGGCTCCACATCCACAGTCAAGAACCTTGCTGATTTCACAGAACTGCTGCCTGTTGTTGCCGGAAAGGGGGACACATGGTTTTGCTCCAGAAGTTTCCAAGAGGGTTCTCATCTGGTAGCGTCTCCAGATTTCTTGGTTGTTGTTATGAGCTGCTCCTGAGACCGTGCCTTCAGAAATCCAAAGGTCGGATCATCATGGTTGCGGAATGTAAGGAGTAACTGGGCCCTTTGAAGTAATGCCACTTTATCCCGTTCAGTTTGCCCAGGTTTTGTCCCGCGGTATAGAACATTCCGTTTAGATTGGATGGGCCACAAGCATCAAACCACCAGCCTGAATAAAATAATTAGTGAATAATGAAAGAAAGAAGACACAATGACAAAGAAATTGAACATTTGGAAATGAATGGCATTGGCTGAGGGAAACGTGTTCATGCTTGTTAGGATCGTTTGCAAATAGCAAGGCATTCAGATAAATATCTTGCCCTTAGTGGAACTGTTTTAAATGACATCCGGTTTAGGCATTACATGAACAATCAGAGAGAGGAATGCTCTCAGGGAATCAAGTGTCTGTGTCACTCCATTGGGACACATTTCCCACGGAATGATGGGAAGCTTCTAGGTTTCATTAAATGGCCTGGGTTTATTTGTAGGCCTAGTAAAATGTAGATACCTTTAAAAGACATATTACATCTTAGGCCTATTATTGGGAATAGGACAATGAATTATTAGTGAAGAAATTCAGAGGTTTAGACAACTGACAGCTAAAGAGAGAGAGAAATAGTTGTTTTTCCATCTATTTCATAATTTTGCCAAGAACTGGCCATCAGCTGCTTCTGAAATTAGCTGGACACCTGGCAATGACTATGATGCTCAACTTGAATTTGAATTTCTAGCCCTCTCTGTATGTAATAGCAATATGGAAAGAATTCCTCAGTAGGAGCCATGTAGTTGCTATGTAGCAGTGTTATTCTGAGATTGTTCATGTTCTTTCAAAACCCAGTAAGAAGAAAAACAAACTACTTGATCAGTGACATGGGGTCCCTATGCTTGCATAGGTCTCCATAAGGATAACTCGGCACTTTATTTTTTTTAATGAATTAAGTTCTCAGATTTTTAGATAAAACATAGTACTTTTCTTCCTCTCCTGAGGTAACACTGCTGAAATCTTCAGGGAGAAAGTGATGCCAGAGACATTCTGGCATATTTTTCCTTGGATACAGTTGACCTCCCTTTGATTGCAGAGTTATACCTAAGGGACTAATAGCTACACAGAGAGAAAGCTGTGCAGCTGATGTTGAAGTGTAACACGAGCATCATCCTGCAGGAACTTTAGAAAAAGTTAAATGGAGAAAAGCTAGTTCTCATTTTTCAATTTTGGAAGATGAATACAGCTGGGTTGTGTTTATAAAGTCAAACTAGAGACATAACAAGCTATATTAATTATCAGCTCGTACTGGGGAGCAGTGAGGTATGCTGATGAACTGCGAGAGATGCTGTATTCAGGGCCATTTTACCATCTGTATGCAAACAACATAGATGTTGATGTGATGAAAACACAAGGAACAAGAAGGCTCCTTGGCAAGGAAGGAGGAACTGTAACATTCCAACCTTTTGTCTTAAGATTAATTCCGTTAAATATTTCTGATAAGTACAATTAGTAAAAATATGTTATTTATGTTACAAAAGACATTTTGATATTAGAGAATTCATTTACCCCGAAGACTCTCAAAGGAGAAAATGAAACCCAACTTGATTGCTGTGGAGTTTCAACTTTCTCCTCCTTTCCTGTGACCTTGAGGCCCTTTTTCCATCATGTTAACGAGCCTTTCATAGTTTTGCCAATGTCCACCAGGGTCTCTGAAGCAAATTCATCTACTCTATTGTTGAGAACTACTAAAAATCATGAGACAGTCCTCCAAGAAGCATTAGGGTACTTACAGAGTAAAAGTGTGGTTTTGTTTGGTTTCTAGAAAGTCATAAGAATTCTGGAAGGTTGTGGGAAGGCAGATGGCTGTTGCAACAGCACCTGGCAATCCACCACACAGGCCAAAGATTGGGAAATTTCAGATGAGCTTAAGAAAATGACAAGCAACAGTAGGGATACATGAAAGTATTGACTAAATTGATCTTGCATGTGATTCTAATGAGTAAAGCGGGGAAATCTTTGTAGTAGGTGAATGGCATTTTAGAGACATTGAAAGAAGACTAATGGCTGGGTTAGAGTTAACAAGAGAAATGGCTTGAAGTGAGAAGGCCTACTACCAAATCACAGAATCTTGTTCATTAACCTAAGAGAAACGGAAAGGCTTGGTCAATACTCTGGTGTACTGAGATACTTAGTGCTGCACTGAACAGAGTTCACTTGACAAATTGACTGGCTTTCACTCTGTCTTCTTATAAAGTCTCTAGGGTCAGAATAGCCTTGTTTACTAAAAGTTACATTTGATAAACCATCCATGCTCATTATACTCATTTTTCCATTATTTCTTCACTCAATATGTCATTATGGCTAGGTGTTGTCACACAACACTCAATAAGACATAGTCCCTGCCCTCATGGAACTTACTTCTAATGTGAAAAACAGACAAAAAGTAAGCAAATAAATAAATATAAATCATGAGCAAAGGAACGAAAAACAGACAGAGGCATTAGGGATCTGTAATGGAGACTAGCAGGAAATCTACTTGACTTTGCAAGGTCCTCGAAGAAGTTGCTATTTAATAAGACCTCAAGGATGAGAGCGAGGCAGCCACATGGAGATGGGAAAGACTCTTGTCAGCAGAGTGTAGCACCTGCCAATGCCATGAAGAGGAAAGAAATCTTCAAGTGTTCTCTCTTAGAGAACATCAGTGCAGCTGGCATGGTGAACAAGGGGGACACTTGCAGGAATAAAGGTGAGAAGTGGACTGTCTTGATAGAAAGTTGAATTATGCTCATGGAAAAATTTATAGTTGACTCAGTCTACTTGTATATCATCAGGTGAACAAGTAAAACATTCTCTAGGAGTGGAAGTTAACATTTGACCACGAAAACTAGACCTTTCAGGTTAAATGTTTAATAAAATAGTATGTGGAGCCCTCATTCTGTGACTATCACCTGCCAAAGCTTTCCTAAGTATAAGTGGCAGCATGATAAAGGGGGAAAAGTTGAATCTAGAATCAATTAAACAAACATTAACCAATGGGAGGACATAGGGGTCAGAGTTAAGTAAAGCAAAATTCCTGATATTAAGGAGTACACTGTGTGTGTTTTTGTCGTTTTTTTTTTTTTCTTAAGCATGTTTTTATTGATTTTTAGAAAGATGAAAAAAGAGAGAGAGAGATAGAAACATTGATGAGAGAGAAACGTGGATTGGCTGCCTCCTGCACTTCCCCTGCTGGGGATAGAGCCTGAAACTCAGGCATATGCTCTGGCTGGGAATTAAAATGGTGACCTTTGGTGCATGGGATGATGCTCAAGCAACATCTGCTGGGCCACAGTTTTGTGTAGGAAAGAGACATTAGGCTGTTTTAAAAAATGAGATTACAGCCATTAAACAGAGATTTTAAAAATCTTATAAAGATCTTAGCTGGTGTTGCTCAGTGGTTGAGTGTCAATTGATGAACCAGGAGTTCATGCTTAATTCCTAATCAGGGCACATGCCTGGGTTATGGGCTCGATCCCCAATGTAGGGCATTCATGAGGCAGCCTATCAATGATTCTCTCATCATCGATGTTTCTATATCTCTCTTTCCCTCTCCTCTCTAAAATAAATAAAAATATATTTAGAAGAATAAAACAAAAATCTTATAAACAGAGGCAGAAAGCCCTGTTTGTGGGTCCATAAGTCCCACTCATTTACCATCTGAGTTGGATCCTGAAGGCTGGGTGTCTCTGGACAGAAAGAGACTCGAAAGAAAATATGTATGTACTCTCAGACAGCTGGAGAGAGTGTCTGCCAACAGCCTTGGGCTGGCTAGAGTGCCATTGGGTGAGGGGTTGGAGAATAATAGTGCTAGCACAATAAATAGGAGGGCAACACAAAGGTTTTTATTATATTAAAAACTTTTTTTGTTTGGCAATGTGAGCACCAAATCAGAAACGAGAAGACCCAGACATTGATGCCGACTTCATCAACTGATAACTAAGAGCTTTTAGTCAAGAACGTAAATTAGGGGTGTCGAACTCAATCAGAGAAGGGGCCAAAATCTAAAATCCAGCCTAAATCGCGGGCCGAATGGTTTACTGAACAGTCATAAACTGTCATTGTGATGGAAACGCAGCGGAGTGCAGTGATGACAGCGCGGGGCGGGCCACATTGCAAGGCCTGGCGGGACGGATTTGGCCCGCGGGCCTTGTGTTTGACACATGTGACGTAAATAATATTTGTTATTTTTGAACAGTTAATATATATCAAGGACTCTGCTAAATATTTTCATGCATTTTCTCATTTTATTCCCCAATTAGCCTTACGTGGTGTAGCTAGTATCACAGTAAAGGCACCAATTCTGAGATAGTTGAAGAAACTTTTCTAAGAACACACAGCCATAGCTCTTCATTCATAAGATGTGCTTTATGAATGTCTGATCAACAATTTTCCCAGCACAGCTTCCAGGATCAAATAAGACAACGTGATTTTTTCCCCCTTTGTTCTTTATGTGTCTGGGAGTAACAAATAAGCAATATGCTAAATAAGTTAAGCTAGCAAAGGCACTTTAAGTTTGAAAGGACTCGGTGATGTAAGCAAAGGATAGAAGAACGCAGCTTCCATTGCTGCTGGGACAACTGATAACATGTCTCAAATGTTTTAAAATTGGCAACTGCTGAGATGTACTTTGCCAAGCATTTTTCTTCATAACCTGTAACCTCATGTATATTTTAATAAGAAATCTGAGACGAATGTTTCTAATTCATTTACACTTAACTCATTAAAATTTAGTTTTGTAATAACTACCCTGCGCTTCCTAGGCCTTTAAAAATCATTCAAGTCTTTTATCTTTGAAGCAGAAAATTCGTATTTTATCACCCATAAATGAAAGTTTGCCCAGAAAATAGGAATTTAATTCTAAACTCGGTACTCAGGAAGTTCAAATTTATTTAAAAATCAGGAAACTTAACTCTCGAATTCTGATCTAAACAAAATGTCTCTCAACACCGTTTTCCTAAGGTAACAAGTATAGCAAGATAAAAGAACATATCTGTTTTTATAGGTTTCATTCATTCATTTTCAATGCATGCATTCTAGTCATCAGTATGCAAAAGAACTTGCCCAGAAAATAAGATTTTCCTCTTTTATCACCGAGGACAAAGCTGAACTAAAACTGATTGGTGCCACTGTTATCAGTGGGATCA